ACTGTTGAAAAGGGCTGTTGAGTTGGGTCTTTTGAGTGGTTTTCGAGTGGGCAGGGATGTTGCCAGTCAGATAGAGATCTCTCACTTGATGTTTGCCGATGATACTCTTGTTCTATGTGATGCTGACGAGTCCCAATTGAGACATTTGAGGTGCGTTTTGGTTTGGTTCCAAGTTGTCTCGGGGCTCAAGGTGAATGTCGATAAGAGTGTCTTAGTGTCGAGTGAAGATGTTCCTGATATTGAGAGGTTTGCTCAGATTCTTGGATGTCGCACTGGGTCATTCCCTATTTCTTATTTAGGATTGCCTTTGGGAGCCCCGTCGAGATGCGCGGGGAGCTGGGATCCAGTTGTGGACAGATTTGAGAAGAGGCTGGCAGGTTGGAAGAAGCAATTCCTCTCCAAAGGGGGGCGTGTTACTCTGATTAAGAGTATACTTTCTTGCCTCCCTACTTATTTCATCCCTTTCTTTTAGATTCCTTCCTCTGTGGCTGAGAGAATTGAGAGATTGCAGCGCAATTTTCTTCTTTTTTTTTTTTATTGGGGGGGGGGGGGAGTTCAAGTATCATCTGGTTCGATGGGAGCAAGTGTGTTGCCCAATTCGGAGTGGAGGCTTAGGTATTAGAAGGTTGTTGCCCTTCAATAAGGTTCTCCTTGGGAAATGGCTTTGGAGGTTTGGGGTTGAGAGGCAGTGGCTCTGGAGAAGAGTTATTGCGAGCAAATTTGGGTAGGTGGAGCTCTCTTGAGGTACGTGGTCCTAGGGGAGTGGGAGTTTGGACTGTCATTCGAAAGGGGTGGGATGATTTTTGCAAACATATTCATTTTTGGATCAGGGATGGTAGGAGGATCAGATTTTGGGAGGATACTTGGTGTGGGGAGATTCCCCTAGCTCTTTCTTTCCCACGGCTCTTCAAGATTGCTTCTGTTAGGCAGGCCTTGGTGGTTGACTGTTATCATCTTCATAACGGAAGAGTGTCTTGGGATGTTCAGTTTAGGAGGCACTTTCAGGATTGGGAGATTGAGGAGGTCACTCGTTTTTTGGAGTTACTGTATCGTCAGGTGATTTCTCATGGGGAGTCTGATTGTTGGCTTTGGAATCCTAATTCTCAGGGTTGGTTCGAGGTGAGGTCCTTTTTTAGGTGCCTTACGGTTGGCGATGGTGGTTCTTTCCTTTGGAGATCTATTTAGCGCTCTAAGGCTCCCCTTAAGGTGGCCTTCTTTGCTTGGAATTCTGCCTTCGGTGGGATTTTAACCTAGGATAATTTGAGGAGGAGGAATCAGATGGTGGTCAATTGTTGTTACTTGTGCCTTTACGATGAGGAGACAGTTGATCGCCTTTTGTTACATTGCAACATGGCTAGAGCTTGTTGGGATTTGATGCTTGGTTTGTTTAGGGTTCCTTGGGTTATGCCTTGTTCCTCTAGAGGATTGATTGAGGCTTGGAGCGGTTTCTCTGCTGGGACTCTCATTCGGGATGCTTGGAGGGCTACGCCTCTCTGTATTTGGTGGTGCATTTGGCTCAAGAGGAATAGAAGATATTTTGACGGAAAGAAGAAGCCTATTGCTATACTTAAGTTCTCCATTATTTTCACTCTTTTTTGTTTGGTTTCGGAGAGAGATTATAGATCTATTGAGGCGATTGTTCTCTTTTTAGCCTCTTTGAAGGCTTGAGTTGTTTTTTGTTTGGCCTTTTTGTATGTTTGGGATCCGCTCCCCCTTTTGAGCGGTTTTTATATATTTGACTTACTTATCAAAAAAAAAAAAAAAAAAGAGCTTTCTGGTTCTGATTAATTTTGTCCTCATCATCATCAGCATCATCATAATCATTGTTGTCATCATCCTTGCCTTCATCCCGTACAAACGTGGTTGGCCACATGTATTCTCTTTTCCCATTCTTTTTTTATCGTAAGCCATCTCTCCTGCTAAATTAAATTTTTTTAAAATCATTTCTTATCACTCATTCCACGTTAGTCTAGGTTGACCTCTTTGTCTCTTGCATGCTATGCAAATCACTCTTCCTATCCTCACGGGTGCATCTATAGGTTGGCGTTGAATATACCCACACCATCTAGTCTACTCTCTCTTATTTTATCGCCAATAGGCACCACACCTAATTTATGTCTAATCGTTTGATTATTAATCTTATCTTTCGTAGTTTTTGCTATCAACCATCTTAACACCCACATTTCCGCCACATGTATGCATTTTTCGTGTTTCTTTTTTAACGCCTAACATTCCGCTCCATATAGCATAGCCGACTAATGACTGTTTTATATACTTTTCCGTTTTAACTTATTTGGTATTCATTATCGCATAAAACCCCACTAGCGTTCCTCCACTTTGTCCAACCTATTCCAATTGTACTACCTACATGATCATCAATCTCTCCATCTTTTTGTACAATTGCCCTAAGTACCAAAAATAATTACTTTGAGTAATATTTGGTCTTGATTTTTTAATGCTATATTATAATATCCCATAACATAACCAAATGACATTCCATGTATTCCGTTTTAGTTCTACTAATTAAAAATCCTTTTGACTCTAATGCCGCTCTCCAAGCCTAAAGCTTCTTTAGAGCTATCCAATAGTACCATGTCATCCGCGAAATAACATGCACCATGGAAGGTCGCCTTGTAAGTCTTTCGTTATGTCATCCAAGATTATCTTAAATAAATATGGACTTAGTGCCGACCCTTGGTGTAATATCTTGAATAAGATCTATAAATTTAACCGGAATATGTTTTCTTTGTAGAGCCCACCAAATCATGTCTCTAAGAACTCAATCATATGCCTTTTCTAAGTCTATAAAAACCATGTGTAGATCTTTTTGCTTACTTCTGCAGTTCTCTATTAATTGCCTTAATAGACAAATGGCTTCTGTAGTTGATCTCCCTGGCATAAAACCAAATTGTTTTTCAGAACTGTACATTCTTTTCTTAGTCTTTGTTCTATTACCCTTTCCCATAATTTCATAGTGTGTCTAATTAATTCAATTCCACAATAGTTACACTTTTGTATATCTCCTTTATTCTTTTAAATTGGTATTATAGTACTTTTCCTCCATTCATTGGGTATTTTTCCTTCTTCTAAAATTTTATTAAATAGATTTGTTAACCATTCAACTCTTATCTTTCCTAGGGTTCTCCACACTTTCATAGGATGTTGTCCGGTTCCACCGCCTTATTGTTTCCCATTTTTCGCAATGTATTCTCCACCTTATTCCCATTCATTGTATCTATCATACTAAGATTGGGCTCATTATTCTCAATGTCCTCTCTAGGATATTTGTCATTTAGAAGTTGTTGAAAGTAATTGTGCCACCCATTCAATATGTCCTCTGTAACTAATATATTTTGATCCACGTCCATATTACATCTAACTTGATCCATATCTCTAGTTATTTTGTTTCTAATTTTTGCTTATAAATGCCTTTTTCCATATAGTTTGTCTAGGGAACACGAGATAAGGGATTTAGGATTTGTAAGTGGGTAAGATAGAGGTACATCTGTACATGTCTTGGGGTTATAATATAACAAGTAAACACAAGGCTCTAGGAGTCTATGAAGATACCTGTGAACCATCATCACTTAGCCTACTTCTGCCGTTTCAAGGTAGGAACAAAGGGATTGGCCTTGATAGATGGGATTTTTAAAATTGAAAAAGGGTTAACAACATCTCGTTGTGAACATTTTGATACTTATCGTGCAGAAAAAAGGAAGAAGGAGAAAGATTGAAGAAGAGGGAGGGCATCACTTCTAGATATCCATAGACATCAGAATAGGGGTTGCACTACACAATTCCATGAGAGATTCAAAAGCTGCTGGAAAATTCCCAACACCACCAAAACTGAAATTTATAGAATTAAATAAATAGCCATATATTGACCTTATGTTGGGCTCCATATTTTAAAATTAGAGACTTTTTTTTTTTTTTTGTAAGTAATAATGAATTAAAAAAGGCGTTCAAGAGGGGAACGCGTCCCTTAAACAATAGTGGAACCGGGGGCTAGGACCCCAAAGAATCCAAAAAAGAAATTAAATCATCAGAAGAGGAGCAAGAACTCCTCTTCACAAAATTAAAGAGAGAATGAATAATAAAAAGTTTCAGCATCGCCGTAGATGACTCCTTTAAATTAGAGACTTAGACTAGTAAAATATATTTTTATCTACTAGGATTTACACATACAGGACAACTTCACTCAAAATACGTCCCTTCGACTTACTAGATCGCAAATCTTGGAGTTACTAACTTTTGATTCATGAAATACAAAGGAGGATATACAAATTAAACCAGCAATAAACTACGAGAAAATATAGGACTTGACTCAACTTTTAAAACTTGATTCTGAGTTGTCCAAGTGGGTTCTGGCTTGATTAAAATATACAAATCTTAAGTCTCTGTTCAAATTTAAAACTTAATTCTGAGTGTTATGCAAATGTGCCACCCAGTATAACCTCATTAGTATTCGTTTCCCAACTGTCCATTTTATTATTATTTCCTTTATCTTGTTTTAAATTTGTTTAATCTGTCAGTAAGTTTTTTTTGTTTGAAGAAGTGATAGTTGTCTCATTGTTCTCAATCACCTTAGTATTATCAAGGAGATGCAAATGTATTGAATGCTTAGATAAATTAGTCTTTCTTAAATAATATCTAATGAGGCCGAATCTGAATTCAGAAAAATATCACATATTTCAGGTTTATGAATTAGTTATATGTCTCTTGTCTTATTGTCACCTGTAATATGCATTTGGAGATGTACTGAGGAAGTGAGTTTATCACTGCCGTGTTTGCTAGATATTGTCAATGACATGCTTTGTAGAAAATCGTGAAATTTTGCCCAAAATACATTTACGGGAGTAGATTCAGAATATTTTCATTTTATGTAATACTTTTTATAAGTACTGTCTTTATACGTATAGATGGTAATTGTTCTTCTGGTTCTTATCATTAATTTATTCTGTTTGTTCTTTTGTTTTTTTCCGCCCCTTTTGTTTGGATAGATCGAGACAATTTTTAAAGGTAAATATTGCACCGAGATGCGAGAATCTGCCTCAATTTTGACAAAGCGTCTGGCTCAAACAGCCCAAGAGACTTTTGGCGATTTTGAAGAAGCGGTTGAAAAAGATGCCACGAAGACTGCTGTTCTAGATGGAACAGTCCATCCTTTGACTAGCTATGTGATAAATTACGTGAAGTTTTTGTTTGAGTAAGTTCATATTACTGCATTTTAATTATGCTACTTGTTCTTTTCTTCCAATGGCTGCAAATTCTTGTATTCTTGAGTTCTGATAATTATTGACGATTTCTCCATTGAGGTCACAAGTAACAATAACTTATGACCTTTTATTGCTTGGTATGGTCTTCCAGCTTTTGTAAAAAATTTGCTTTAAGATATGAAGCATGGACATGGATACAGAATACAGATATCGTGTTATACGAACATTCAGATATGAAAAATGCTAAAACACTGGACACAGATTTGTCAAGGATATGGCAAAATATGCTGATGTGTATATACCTATCTATACATAATACTTAAAGCTTTATTGTTTGTTATTTATATACACATATAATGGTGAATATTATAGTCTTTAAGTTCTTTATTTATGATATTAAAATTCATATGAGAATACTGAGGTTATGTTACATGGATATTGACTTGAAACGAAATTTAACACAATTTAATCTTGTTATATCTCAATTATTTTTCTCTAAAAAATTGCTCAAGTATTGAAATCCTTGTTATGTTTTTCCTACATTTTAATACCTCAATGTCACACCTCATTGTTCAATACATGTTGGACATGCTCTTATGCTGTTGTTGATATATCCGATATGTGTTTTAAATGCATGTGACTTGGAAGGTAATTTTCAAATCATGGATAGCTTTAGGGAGTAGTATTTGGCACAAATTGGTGAGTATTTGTGGAGAATAACCTTATGTTATAGATGAGATACAAATATGTTGTATAAGAGTTCTTGCATCATAGCTTTGGAGAAATATTTCTGATCTTGATGACATGTATAGTTGTATGCATACTTGTGTATAAGGTTAATATACTCTAATACGACTTCTTTTCCTTTTGATTCTTCTTACCTACTGTATTCTCAATTATGGCATTTCAGTAGTCCGATTATTTTTTCCTTGCTCTGCCCTTGTTTGTTCTTCCTTGTTTGGATTTGCTTTTGTTGCAGGTGCATTATCCTTGTTTGTACCTGACTAGTAGGTGTTATATGTGCACAGCTATCAATCGACATTGAAGCAGCTTTTCCAAGAGTTTGACAGAGGTGATGCAGATGCCCAGTTGGCATCTGTAACAACGCGGATAATGCAGGCTCTTCAGACTAACCTGGATGGTAAATCTAAGCAGTACAAGGATCCTGCATTGACTCATTTATTTCTTATGAACAACATGCACTATATTGTCAGATCTGTGCGCAGGTTTGTTATATTTCTGGGTTATTTATTGAAATGTTATCTACTTTGTTTATCCGCATGTACACCATTTATGATATTTTATTTTTAGGTCAGAAGCAAAGGATTTGTTAGGTGATGACTGGGTGCAAATTCACCGAAGGATTGTCCAGCAGCATGCAAATCAGTACAAGAGGATTTCTTGGGCCAAGGTATGTATATACTAAATTAAGTAATACATTGGAGTCTTTTTTTGCTTACATGGTGGAGTATGGATATGATTATAATTTTCGGTTTCTAAATTTCTCTATTAATTTCGTAGATATAGAATGTGACATCATGTTGTTTTCATACTGGTTCTGTTTGGACAATAAGATATGCATGCATTTATTCAATTATCTTTTTGATTTCAGATTGGGGTTTTACAATCATTTCTTAAATCTCTCAACCATTAAAGAGTAAAAGAATAAGATTTAGGGTTCTCAATAAATTAGGGATTTAGGTTTGATAATCCAGGAGGGACAACCATTTGGGAAATCAAAAACAGCATATTTTTTTTGTTTATATACATATTACTGCTTCATCCTAAATTTTTAGATTTCGTCGCAAGTGTTAAGGTTTTTGGCAAATCAAAAACATAATTTTTTTTAATTTTTTATTATATATATATATATGTTACAGCTTCATCCTAATTTTTTAGATTTTGTCCCATCAGTGTCTGCATCATATCATATCCTATCCAGTATCTGCCTGAATGTCTCATCTGTGTCCATGCTTCAAAGATTGAGATAGAAGGAACAGATGAGAAAAAAGTCAAGTGAAATTATGGGTTTTATATCGATGGGTGGATCATTTTATGTTAAGAGATGCTGCCAAAAATAGAACTTCAGAGAAGCAAACGCAGCATAGTTGTGGCTTTATATAATAAGTAGGAGTTATTAGTGTACATGTTTCTAGTTGTACAATAAATTATAGAACTACCTTGGTTCTAGATTTAATGTTAGTTATTTATAAGAACTAACTGGGCAATAGACTGCAGTCTACACGTGTTATGTCACTTCATTGTTGGACTCTTAGTTATTTGCACAAGAAATTTCATTCTGTTCATTGTCCCTAAATAATATATATGAAGTGAAGATAAATCCTGAAATCAGTATTGGATTTCTACAGAACTTATTGTAATGAGCATATCTGTAAACAGGTCTTGTTTGTCATAGCTTGTCAATTGTGCCCCTTTCAGTGAAACTACCTGATTCTTATGCCGAGGACCAACATCTCAACTTTTAGCTAGAATATGCATTCTTTATTCTTAAGTGTTTAGGTTAGACCTAGGAGGGACCTCCTTTTAAATTAAGCTACAATATTCATTTACAATGTTATCTGGCCGTCCAACTTTTGATCAATTGTTTAATGGTGTGTCCAAATTCCTTTTTTTTACTATTATTTTTAAGTTGCACTTCCACAAATGGGTATCTCAGCAGCATGTCATATTTTAGATGCTGGAATTGGCAAAATGGTCATGCTCATCCGGCCCATGCAGTGGCGCGGGTTTGAGTCCTAGAATCAGGATCTCTAGAAATACGGTAAGGCGTCTACTATCTACCTGTCCCAAACCCTGCCTAATGCCAGAGCCTTGTGCATTGGGCATGACCTTTTCTTTGTTTTTTTTTCCTTTTCTAGCTCAAAGAATCTCCTACCCTTCTTATTGATTCTCGTCGGGAAAATTTCACGAAGTCATTTTCAGTTCAAGCAAACTTATTTCTTGTAGAAAGTTTAGCTGTCTGGTTCTTGTTCTGTAGATACTGCAGTGTCTTTCCGCTCAGGGCCTTTCTTCATCAAGCGGTGGTGGTATGGATAGTGGCAGCAATAGTGGAGTTTCCAGGGCAACGGTGAAAGATAGGTTCAAGTCGTTCAACATTCAGTTTGAGGAGATTCATCAAAGGCAATCGCAATGGACGGTTCCTGACAGTGAGCTGCGAGAGTCTTTGAGGCTGGCTGTCGCTGAGGTTCTTTTGCCTGCCTATAGATCTTTCATTAAACGTTTTGGGTATGTCTTTTATTTCTGCATTTGTGAGTTCGTTTTCTTCAAATTCTTAAGGGGTCGTTGCTTTGTGCAATGGTAAAAGTTGTGATTGACAAGGGTAAGGTGGTAAACACTGCCACCTCATGCACAATAATGCCAAAATCCAAGGCTTTCTGTAGTGTTGAATATGATGTTGTGGATTTGATTCACTGCAGGCCTCTTATTCAGAATGGAAAAAATCCCACTAAGTACATCAGATACGGTCCGGAGGATCTTGAACACATGTTGGCTGAATTTTTTGAAGGAAAGACCTGGAATGAACCAAGACGGTAAAGAACTATTTTTGTTGAAAACTTGTAAGTGGAGGTGTTCACTGGCGAAGTTATTCATTGTACAATGATATGATTCAATAATCTTGGATGGAGTATTCCTTTCCCACTTGTATTTTTTTCTTATCGAGTTCTGTTTTAACTCTATTTCCGCCAGTGTTAATCTCCCTATCTTTGTGTGTGTTTGTGTTTGTGTTTTGTGTTTTGTGTTGCGTGTTCCTTGACTGGAACATTTCTTTTCAACTCTGCCTCGATGAACCAATTTAGCCGGTGTGTTTGTGTGCATGCTTGTACCCAAAATATGACACAGAAGAGCCAATCATGTGTCTGCCTAAAAGTGCAGTTTGTGCTCATCAAGATCATGAATGCTGATCCGCAATGGAGACTCGGGCCTTCTTTCAGACTCTTTTAACTCATTTTATTATAGTTACTTGGATTGGAAAGATTCAAGTATACAACAGCACAAGGCTCCCACGCAGGGGCGGAGCTAGAATTTTGTTTCAGAGGGGGTACAATGCACTAGTTAAAAAATAAATAAATAAATATGACAAATAGAAAGTATAATTTTTTAAAATCAAAAAGGCAAATAAGAAAAAAGTAGTTGTAAAATAATATGCTAAATAAATATTGTAAAAAAAATATAGTTACAAATATAAGAATCAAAATATTAATTAATAATATTTTAATTAAATACAATCACAAATGTCATCGATAAAAATAAATAAGTTTAAAAAAATAAAAAAAATACATAATTATACATAAGTGGAAAAAAAAAAAATTTTTGAAAAAGGAAACAAAAATTAGAAAAAGAAAAATATATTGTATACTTCAAGAAGGGATATATGTAACTTTTTTTTTAAAAAAAAAAAAGGAAATTAGAAGAATTTGAAAATTTTAGGGGGTGGGACTGTTTAAAATTACCATGTAAGTATATGTATATACCAAAAATATGTACCTATGTATAGTAAGTTGGAGCAAAGTGAGGGGGGGGCACGTGCCCCCTCTGGGCCTTAATTGGCTCCGCCCTTGCTCCCACGGGTATAAATAAGAAATTGAAGGGAAAGACAAAAAAAAAAGAAAAAAGAAAAAAAGTAACGCTCATTTTCCATTTAAATGATGCAACACGTACAAGAGGAACATTAGCACCTTATATGTGAGGGAGGGTTGTCATGGCACTTCGCATTAATTTGGCTGCATTTTAGGGAATGATAATGGACAGATAGATATGGTTTTGTTGCTTTCAGAAGAATTCAAAGAGCCCCAGGTTAGAATTAGAATATTGAAATTGTCAAACAGAATATTATTGCGGGCCATATAAAAAAATAAAAATATCTTCGCCGAAGCAACAAAATGAGTTGACAATGAGATCTTTTTTAAAAAGTGGAGTGTTACAACCAACCAAGGTCTTGTTAATTGAGAATGTTTTTAAGTTTGGTGTCTATGAGTGAGAATGGAATGAAATGATTATTTTTATTATAGTCTTGTTAATTGAGAATGTTGTTAAGTTTGGTGTGTATAAGTGAGAATGGAATGAAATGATTATTTTTATTATATTGTTTGATTGTAAATATGTAATTTATAGGAATGAATTAATGTAAAATTTAAAAAAGAATGAATTTCAAATTAAAATTTTCAAAATACCCTTGTTAGTGATAAATAATTTTAATTTACAAAATAATATTATTCTATAATTTTTTTTTTTTTTTTTTAAATGTTGGCGATGGTTGATGGTGGTGGAAGTGGAAAGCGATAGTGGTGGTGTTGGAAGGCGGTGGTGGTGGATGGCACAATGGTGTTGGTAGAAGGCAATGGTGGTGGTGGCGGTGGTGGTGGTGGTGGTAATGGTGGAAGGCGTCAGTGGTGTAGGTGATGATGGTGGAAGGCAGTGGCGTGGTGGTTTTGGAAGACGACGGTGGTGGTGGAAAGCAGTGGATGTGACGGGGGTGGAAGACGACAGTGGATGTGGCGGTAGAGGTGAAGGTGGCGACGGTGGTGGTGATGAAAGTCGGTGGCAATGGCGATAGTGGTAGAGGTAGAGGTTCCGACAGCGGTGGTGGTGATGGAAGTCAGTGGAGGTGGAGGTAGAGATGGCGGCGGCGGTGGTGGAAGGTGGTAGTGGTGATGGAAGTCGGTGGCAGTAAAGGTGGTGGTGTTGGTGGCGGTAGGGGTGGAGGTGGTGGTGGTGGTGATGGAAGTCGATAACGATGGCGGTGGAGGTGGCATTAGTGATAGAGGTAGAGGTGGAGGTGGCGGTGGCGGTGGCGATGGCGGAAGTCGTGGCGATGGCGGTGGAGGTGATGGAAGTCGATGGTGGAAATCAGTGGCGGTGGAAGGTAGCGGAGGCGACGATGGCGTAATAGTGGTGGCGATGGTAGTGATATATGGTGGTGAAAGTGGTGGAAGGCGGCAGTAAGGGCAGGCCCTGGCCCAAGGCAACCAAAGCGGTCGCCTAAGGCCTTAACATTTAGAAGAACTCAAAATTTTTAGCCCATTAGTGATAGGTTTAAAAATAATAATAATAATAATAAATAAATAAATAAATAAAAACGTTAAGCCCTTACCTGAGTGATAGGCCCAAATAAAAAGAAAAAAACTTAGGCTCCTTTTCATGAGTGATAGGCCCAAATAAAAAAAAAAAACTTAGAGCTCTTCGATTAAACGAATTCACAGCTCATTCAAAATTAGGGCCCTTAAAAACTTGGTGATTAAATTCGAAATTAAATATGGCTCTTTACTACTTTATGTGTATGTTAGTGTGTATTTCAGTAATTAAAGGGCCTCACATTTAAGTTCGTCTAAGACCTTTCAAGATTTTGTCAATCTCAGGGCTGGCCCTGGCGGCAGTGGTGGTGGAAGGTGGCGGTGATGATGAAGGCGGCAACAGTGGTAGTGGTAATCGTGATGGCAGGGTCGACCCTAGGGTAAGGCGACCAAGGCGATCGCCTAGGAGCCTAGGACTCCAATTTGGAAAGGTCTCAAATTTAGGATCATAATACAAATATAGTAGTATATGTCTAACATACAGGTCATAATTTCCATAATTAAAAGACAATATATACTTATGTACTCCCTATCACACTACTTATAACATCAATTTATATATGTTAGACAATAATTTATATGGTAACAATAATTTGTTTTTATCCCCTCCTTCAAAAAAAAAAAAAAATTATATTTAAACTCATAAACTCGTTTATTTTATTATTATATTATTTTTGGACTCATGTGCATACATGACAGGCTCCATTAAACCAAATTATTTACAGAGTTACAATTCTTAAGAGAAACTTTCCTAATACAAAAAAAGGCAATTAAAGCATTTGATTTTATGAAAAGGTTAAGTTATTATTTTCAAATGCTTGGATTGCATATAGAGTATTTTTAACTATCCCAATTACAATTGCATCTATTAAGAAAAGTTTTTCAAAATTGAAATTGATCAAATCTTACTTACGATCGACGATATCACAAGGGAGATCCAATGGATTGACTATAATATCTATTGAAAAAATATGTTAGAGAAATTTGATTGGAGCACTTTTATTGATAATTTTGTAGCTCAAAACACATGATGGTCACATTTACTTTTGATATGATCGAAGTGGAATTTTGATTGTGACTAAGTTGTATTGAATATTTCTTTTAATTTTTTTTTTATGTAAACTGGATCATGCTCTTTCTAAAGCACTAAGACCGAATTTTGTTTTGTGTGTTCTCAATATTAATATATTTTATGTGTATATTGTTTCAGTTTAATGAAAATTTTGCACTCTTATAAATTTTTTGCATGTGTTAAATCTTATAAAAGGCCTCGAATTTGAAAGTTTGCCCAGGGCCTCTCAAAATTTTGAGAATTTCAGGCCGCCCCTGGGTGATAGTGGTAGTGGTGGTGGCTAAAGGCAGTGGAGGTGGCGGCGGTGTATTTGTTGAAGGTGGCAACAATGGTGGCAGTAGTGGTGGTAGTGACGTTAGTGGAAGGCAATAAAGGTGGTGGTGATGGTAAAAGTTAACGGTGGTTGTGGTGGTGGTTTTGGGATTTGAAACATGAGAGTTTTTTTGGGAACTTGATTTTTTTAAAAAAAATTACTTGGGAATGGAATGACTATTCCATAAGTTTAGTTGTGGAATAGATTTTCATTACAACAATGAAATTGTCATTTGTACCTTAAATTGCATACCAAACAAATGAATGATTGAAATGGACATTATATTCCATTCTATTTTTTGTTGGGTTTGTGGCTCAAAATTGTGTACATAAATTAATTTCATTTTCTTGTTTTGAAATGTTGAAATTTGTGGAGGAAATTGTATCTCATTAAGTTTCTATTTTAGAGTTGGGATTGATACGATAATTCCTTGTATGCAAGTTGGGGAATGATTGTCCAACAAGGAGTTGAATTTTGAAGACTTTATAAATAGAGATAGGTATGAGGGGTATAGAGAGAGAAGAGAGAAAAAATGTAAGGGGTTTAAGGGTGAGTGTTGTAAGGAGAGGGAAGAATATATACATATAGCCTCAAAAGAGATGATGAGTAAGTGAGTGTAATTTTGACGTGTGGTTGTATATTCTCTTTCTCGATTCATATCCTATGAATGTAATCCTAAAGTTGAATAAACCATGTAAAATATTTTTTTTTTTTTTGGAAAGTAAAGCAACTGACATTAATGTTAAAATAATTACAAAGTTTGGGGCTAAAGCCCAATTATAAAGAGGTTAAGAGCAAGCCCAATGGGCAACAAGGGCACATGCCCAACCAAGTTCAAAAGTGTCTCCCATTAACTACCAAACCATTAATGGAGAGAACTGAAACAAATCCGGTGGATGCTTGTAGCCGGATGTAGCCGGATTGACGGCTAGCTTGATTGATCTGGGGGACGAGGAAGTGGTCTGCAACATGATGGAGGTAAATTCCATTCCGAGAGGATTAACCTCGAGGCCGCACAATCCTTTAGAATACCCAGTCTAAGAAATGAAGTAATGGAGGAGGTAATTCTGGCAAGTAGAGTTCTTTACGAACATTTGCCTTTCTTGAAAATTCTGTTGCTGCGCTCTTTCCAAGTGTGGTAAACCATTGAAGAAAAGTAGATTTTCCGCAACAAGTTTTGAGGAGAGTTTGTCTTCCACATGGAGCTTATAAGCCGGATCAAACCACTCCAGTTTGTGATTACTGTTGAAAAGTGGCATCTGTCTTTCAAGAATCTCTAAATTGGAGAGACGGAGGAGCAATTGAAAAACAAATGGTCATGTGATTCCAGAGAAATTGAACACAGTGGACATATATTTTGGAATTTGGTCATTGATTTGCTGTCAAGTGTCGGTAATCTAGATTGGACTGCCATCCATAGGTTAAATTTCATACGAGCTGTGATTGGGGAACTCCATACTAAATTAAACCAAGGGACTGTATCTAGATGCCCTGCTAAGTGGGAAGTGGTATGCTTATAGCTGTAATGGCCAGTAGATGATGCGAGCCAGACCTTCTTGTCATTGATAGCTGGACATGGAGGCTGTAGGTGCAGTAGCTCTAGAATGTTGTCTGTTAATGGCTGTGGGAAAGACCAGTGGGAGCTGCTGTCAATGAAAGAGTCAAGAGTGGAATCTTCGTTGATGCCAGCTATATTGAGGACTGAAGAACGGAATCTAGTGCAAAGTGAACCTCCTGGAGCCCAGTTATCCCACCAGAGAGAGGTATCAGCTCCATTTCCCACCTTATGCTTGATTAACATTCTAGTTGGATACCTGAGTTGTAGTAGCTTCCTCCAGCTCCATGAACAAGAGTATGGATATTTAAGTATCAAAAAATTTCTGGATTTGATTAGATATGTGTTATACCATCTAATCCAGATTCTTTCCATGTTTTCACATTGTAGATCCCAAATATGCCTTATTATTCCTGCTTTGTTTGCTTGCTCTAAATTTGGGATGCCTAAACCTCCAGCCTCTTTAGGTTTGCATACCTTGTGCCAAGCAACTTTGGAGCTTGAAGCTTTCATCTTAACCCAAGACTATAGGAATGATCTAAAAATTCTATTGAGCTCATCTATGACTCCTTTTGGAAGTATGAAGATACTACTCCAGTAGATTTGAGTTGAAACCAGTACTGACTTGATCAATTGTAGTCTGCCAGCATAGGAAAGTGACCTAGAGGTCCAGTGAGTAATTTTGTGAGTAATTTTGTTGATGAGCTGGCTGCAGTGAAAGGCTTTTAAACATGTTGTGATCAATGGAACTCCAAGGCATTTTACTGGGAGGTCAGCTTGCCTAATGCCCAGTAGAGAGGTGATAGCTGCTTGAGTATGATCCTCAGCTCAAGATAAAAAGACTGAACTTTTGTTCAAGTTTATCTCGAGGCCAGACATATAACTAAAGTGGTCCAAGGCACATTTAAGAACTGAGACTGAGGCTATATCCCCATGACAAAACAAGAACAAGTCATCAGCATAGGATAAATGAGTAATCTTTTGTTCCTTACACCTCCAATGATACCTGAAAGTGTGCACTCTATCCACATAGTTTTTTATTATGGAAGAGAGTGCATCCATTGCAATCACAAAAAGGAAGGGTGAAAGGGGATCCCCTTGCCTTAATCCTCTTTTCCCTTTGAAATACCCCTTGAACTCACCATTAAGGGCAATAGTGAAGGATGGTGAAGTCACACAAGCTTGAATGAGAGAGATGAATTTATTAAGGAATTGGTGGAGTTTGAGACAATTGAGGATGAAATCCCATTTGATGGAGTCAAAGGCTTTCTTCAAGTCAATTTTGATGGCACGTTTTGCAGTTTTGGATTGCTTGTGGTACCCCCTTAAGAGCTCATGGGTGAGTAGTATGGGATCGGTGATTTTTCTACCATGGATGAAAGCTGATTGGGATGAATTAATGAACTCATGTAGGGTATGTTGCAGCTTCATTGCAAGTAACTTGGCAATGCACTTGTAGATAGTGTTAACACAAGAAATTGGCCTGTAATCATGCACAGATGATGGGTTTTGACACTTTGGCACCAAGCATATATAGGTGTGGTTGGCCTCCCCTAGCAATTTCCCATTTCTGAAAAACTCAGCAATGGCAAGGGTGACAGATCTTCCAATAATACTTCATGCTTTGTGAAAAAAGAGTCCATTGTAGCCATCAGGTCATGGTGCTTTGTTTGTGTTTAGGTTCAGGAAGCAATTTTGTATCTCTATATGGGAAGGGGAGTCATCTATGTACTGGTGAAGGTGAGTTGGGATATGAGCTGTGATAAATGGGTAGAGGTCAGTAATATGGTGTGTGATTGGAGGTGTAGTTTCCAGTAGGTTTTGGAAGTGTGCAACAACTTCAAGCTGTATCTCTTCCTTATCATAGAGAGTGTGGCCTGAGGCAGATGTGAGTGAGATAACTTTGTTTCTATTGATCCTTGAACAGACTGATTTGTGGAAGAAACCTGAGTTGCAATCCCCAAGTTTTAACCAGGACATTCTAGATTTTTGTTTGAGTGTATCTTCTTGGATGTTGCCAAGTCTTAGCATCTCATTAGTAAGAGTTTTCTCCAATTCTCGAAGGCTGTGGTCATCTGGTGTGTTGTCCAGGTCAGTTTGACATGCATTTAAGTACATCCTCACAGCATGCAGCTTTGAATTAATTTCTAGAAAATTCCTTCTTGCAATTAGATCTCAGCTCATGTTTCAATAGCTTTAATTTTTGGACCACCTGGAACATAGCTGTACCCTTGATGTATTTGGACCAGACATTGTGTACTGTGGAGTGGAAGTTTGGATGAGTGGACCAAGCATTGAAAAATCTAAAAGGGACATGTCTTGCTGGGGTGGTAAGGTCTAGATTTACTAGGATTGGACTGTGGTCTGAGATGTTTGGGGGTAGGAAGGTGCATTTAGATAGGGGGAATGTTTCAGTCCAAGTAGGATTAACCAAGGCTCAATCAAGTTTCTTGGTAATACAGGCATTTCCCATGCTTTTGTTGGACCAAGAAAATAGAATTCCATTGAACTTCAAGTCTTCTAACTCTGTTTCTTGCAGACAGTCATTGAAGTCTGTCATTGCATTGCTCCATCTCATTGAACCACCATGGTTTCCCCAATATTTGGTATAACATTGAAGTCACCTATTAAGAGCCATGGTGTGCTAGAGAATAATTGAGAATGATTGACTAGATCATCGCAGAGAAGCTGTCTATCAGAAGCAATATTAGCAGCGTAAACAAATGAAGTGAAAAAATCAACATTTTGCCCAATAACTTTGAGAGAACAGTGAATAGCCTGTGATGTGGTAGTGATGACAATGAGTTTAATGGTATTTGGGTTCCATAACACCCAAATTCTGCCTAAGTCAGAGAAGGGGTAATTGTGTACCAAGCTCCAAGTAGGAGCAAGATTCTTGTGGATTGCTGCAACATTTGTGGGGGACACTCTGGTCTCCACTATTGAGGCTATGTCAATTTTCCTTTCAAAGATCAGCCTCTTAATCTTTGATTGTTTAGGGGGTTGGTTTAACCTCCTAATATTCCATGTAAGGAGGGAGATCATTTAAAGGGAGGTGAGAAAGAACCTCCAAGATGCCCTCCAGACATCAAATCATTGCAGGGACCAAACTTCTTCCTTGCTGCCTTCTTCAAGCTTCTCATTGATTGTGTTATGGATGAATGTGTATGATTGTTATCTTTATACATGCGTGTATTGATGTGATGTGATGATATTTTTATTATATCTGATGTAAAAAAAAATTTAATTTTCAATAACAACAGACGGTTAAGTGATTTAAGGGGAGTTAATTATATTAAATATTTATGCACACCAAACATAATAGGAAGAAGATTATCATAATTAGCTCGTGATAGTTGTACAAGTCCAGGGCTCTTTTTTATCTCGTCACATTTAAAAATAGAGCACAAGTTGCAGCTAATATATTATATATTTACACATATAGGTAAAGTCTAAAAAAATACTATATTGCTGTATAAAAAATTTGAAGAAACATACTGCAAGAAACCGTATGTTTTAAATTTAAAGCGAATTGCTTTTTAATCATCAATTCCAACTATTTTTTTTTTTTTTTTAAGAATTATAAAATACCCTTAAAATGATTTTTTATTTTTATTTTTATTTATTTTTTAATTTTTCACACATGTTGAACTCCACCCTATAAAAATACAAAATTACCTCTCACTCTTATTAAATTATACTGTATATCTCATCTCAATACTGATGACGTAAGCAAGGGAAGCAAACTAAAACTAAATATTTCATATATTTCATATAAAGCTTATATATAAATATCACCGCAACTCTCATCCCCATTTCCGCCATCACCAACACTAGCATCCACCTGGCCGGCTCCGTTGTCGCCACAGTTACACCACCACCACCACCCCCGTATATCTGCACCAACTAATTCCTACCCAACATAATGAAAATTAGTATTAGAAGTGTGGGTTTGGATGTTTCAATCGTAGTTGACTTTGTTAGTGACTGAAAAGAGGGAATGCAAGGGTGAGACATTATCGAAAAGCACTGAATTAAAATATAGTTTTTTTAAAGGATCGATTTTAGAGAGAGAAAAAGCCCAAAAATAAGGTATTTAAGGGCATCATAAGAGCATTACTTAAAACTGCAACCATGAACAAAAACCAGAGAGCTGTTTTCTCTCTTCACCCACATAATTGTAATTTTAATTGAGTTTCATTAATTGATTCAGGGGATCTGTGAATGGATTTAGATATGAAACTTTGACTATATAATTATTACTCAACCATCTCTTAAATGGTTGGTTAATTGCATGTTTGAATGGTGATTCCTATAAAAGACAAATGTGAAGTGGACCATCAAAGTATTACTCTGTACTCTGTAGTATTACTGTGCAACATATGACATCATAAGTTTATTGGATTAATTCAACTATGTAAATTGTGTCGTATCAATCAACAACTTAAGGTGAAATTTTAGTTATTTGGTAAAATTTCAAAGCTGCAAATTGCAATGGTTAAATTATAAAATAAAAAATAAAAATCCCCATAAATCCTGTAAAAAAAGCGGCCCATGCAGACAACTTTGTCTGTATCGCCGCCACTCCTCCGCTCCTCTAAAAACTCATTCACTCTCTCAAATTCTCTCCCCCTCCCTCTCTCTGAGTTCAATGGCTTCCTCTACTGACGGCCGAAACAAGCTGGTCACTGGCTACCCGGCGCCACCGGGTCATGTTGCCATCGGATACCCTCACGCAGCCGCGCCACCGCCCTCCGCCTTCTATACTGTCGCTTACCACCACCAATTTCATACCCACGTTCGCCACTCTTTACTCTGCCATCTCATCGCCGCCCTCCTCACCGTCATCCTCATAATTGGAGCCATCTTCTCCATCGTCTGGCTCGTCCTCCGCCCCCGCCTCCCTGAGTTCACCGTCGCCTCCGCCACCGTCTCCCCTATCAACGCCACAGCCTCCGAGGTCACCGCCACCTGGGACGTCTCTCTTCTGATTAAAAACCCTAACACCAAGCTCACCGTCTTCTATGACAGTCTCGATGCCTCGGTCTTCTATGGCGATTCTCTACTAACCCAGACCGAATTGCGGCCCTTTTCTCAACCCAAGAACAAACAAAATCTGATTCGTTCCAGGTTCGCATTGGTTAGGGCCAATGTGGGGGACAACGTGGCGAAGGCCATTTCGAGTGATCGGGCTCGTGGGTCGGTGAGTTTCGGAGTTAGGGTTCTTTCTTTGGTTAGGTTTAGGACCGGAGGGTGGCGAATGAGGAAGCATTTATTGAGGGTGTACTGCGATGGACTGAATATTGGGTATTCGTCGAGTAACGGACGGGGGACTTTGCTGAATCCGTCTAAAGAATGTGAAGTTGATATCTGAAGGAACAGAACATGAGAGTCTAAGTTTGTAAGGCATTATTAATCCTTTACTATTAAAAGAAATAAAAATAAAGTATATTTCTTAGTGAATCAAAGTAGTTCATATGTTTAGTTTGCTTCATCGTTTCTCCTTTTCTTCATTTTGTTGCTTTTGCGGTCTTCTTGATTCCGGTTATTAACTTAAAGTTCATATTAATTATACTTTGATATGCATTTTTAATAGTTTTAAGTATAATGTGGCATTTAACTTTTAAATTAAGTGGCTGTTTGGTTTAGATAATGGTCTCAGTTCATCACTGCCAGAGTCATTTTCAGTTTAATTTGTGAGTTAGGTTGTGGATGAAGTGTTGATGGTCAATTAGCATGGTTTTGGTAACTTGGTTTTATGGTAGATGAGAGTGTTTTCACTAGATCACAGAATTATTCGATAGTTGACAATAGAGTGCTGTCATCAACCAAGATTATGGCTTTCGGTTTCTTTTTGTAGGCGCATCTGTATTAGCTTAGTTGGTTCCTATAAAGAGTAAAATTTCATCGTGCTATGTTCTAATCTGCATTTTAAGTTTTAAATTTTATTGCTGTTTTGCTATTTGAAATGCTCGAGTTTTCCATGGATCATGGAATTTAATGCTTCAGATTGACAAGGAACTCTCGACTCTCACAATAAGTAGTACTTTCTTCTTGGCAGGATGAATGGGGTACTCCTAGAAGCATAAAATGATGGTACTGTCCAATCACTTCATCGAGAAGTAAGAGTTGCAATTGATTGGTTACAGATTTTGTTTGTGTAGTCTCATTTTATGTTTTGGGAAGTTCTCTTTAAAGCATACCTAATGTACTGGATTGATGATGAAGTGTTGTGTTGTTTGTTTTTTCTTTCACTATGCTTCAGTAACTAGGAGGCAGAGGAAAGGGAAGGATATCATTACTTAATTTGGAGAAGAAAGAAAAAAAAATAATAATAAAGAATGGAAGGATTTTGATTACTCTTCCTTTGCTTGGATAATTTGGCAGGGAAAAGAATGGAAAGGATAATAGTAACCTTCCTCTTACTTCGGAAATATTGATAGGAAAAAAAGGAAATGAATTTTTAGTTATGTGGGTAGAGGCAGTAAAGAATTTATGCATTTGTTCTCAAGAATTGGAGTAGCACAGGTAAATTAACTTACGCTATCCTTTTCACTTCTTTTATTCCACTTTTTACTTGTTTCTAGAAGATAGTTGTAACTTCTAGGGTTTATCCTCAAATTAAGCTGGATAATAGTTTTTGATTCTTCCTTTTAATTTGATATTTGTATGGTCGCATTCTCCCAAAAGCGTCGAATATCACATGTTGAGTTGAGTACCTTTTGTTGAATCGTTTAGATTCTAGTTTCTGTTTTCTTATTGTTTGTGTATTCTTGGTGTTCAAGAGTTATCCTTGAAGTACATAGTTTATCATGTTGGGTTGATTATGAAGTTTTATGACGTCTGGATTATTCTGATTTTAGTTTCATGTTGTCAGGATGCTCGTAACAGTTTAAGGGTGTTTGTAGGAGCTTTGGCATTTGACATGTTGAGTTGATAACAAACTTGTGATTGGTTGAATTATATATATATATATTTTCAAGTTGTTGGTGACTTTGAAGGGCCTTATGAATGTAAAGGCAGTTGTTGTGTCCTATGGGCCTTATGCTTATTGATAGTTTTGGGAGTCTTAAATATGGTTATTAAAAATCTTTGGAAATTGTCTACTTGGTAAGCATAATTTTTTTCTTATTTCAGTTATGAGGTTTTCCCTCTGTTTTTGGTTCCTTTCTCATTTATTGTCTCCATTACTATTTTGGTGTTGTGAATGTGCTGGTGTTTATAAAATGGGGCCAACTTTGTTTTTATGATGATACTAATGTGTGTTGTTGTGGGGTCGTAGATAATGTGGCTCAAATAGCAGTTATCTTTTAATTGTTGCATTTGATTGTTGTTCTTACGATTTGGGATGATATTTGTAATGTTTAATTACATTTTTTCTTAACTTAGAATCCAATGTGTCAGCTTGGTAATGAATGGCACAATTGGTTGCATTTAATTTTTGTTTTTATGTTTTGTCTGAAATTTCCAATTAATCAGATATAGTGAACTAAATGTGTTGGGTTGAAAATAAAGGATTATAGTCGGTTGAATTATCGGGATGACATACACTCCATAATTATATGCAACATTTCCAATTGTTGATCAGTTCTGTTATAACTATTGGTTTCTTGTTGATGGGTGGATATAATTGGGATTTGTGGCATTCAATGTGTTGGGTTGATATGGATGGCCAATATTAATGTCTTGGCGGGTAGAGCATGTCTTATGAATTTCATGACTTTTCATCACTGTAGATTCAAAATTATCTACATAAGGATATATGACATTATGCTACATTGTTTAGCTACTGGTATATGGTAGTTCTGTGTTGGACAAGTTTCCTTCCTGACATCTCCAAAGAACTTCGAATTAACAAGCATGCATTGTAGTTTTTTACTCAAAAAGGATATATTTTTGTAGTCACACCATTTAAGTTGTCTTTTGATGATAGTTTGTCAATATTAGAATTTCTTCCATTACACATGACCTTGTGGAAGATGCAAGCACGCTGTGCCCTTGAGGGCTACGGAGAATCCCTTTTGCTTTAAGTGTGAGTTTAGAAATGCATGAAACCGTAGCTATTACTATTTAACATCGACATTGTAAAAGTTTTTCTTTTTTAGATCATGTTTTTCTGAAAAATAAATTAATAGTACATCTAAACCTCTTCTTTTGCTGAACTAACTCACACTCCTTCTCGGCTCTTGTTCTTCAGGCTCCATTTCGTACTTTAATTTCATTGACCGTTGTTTTCAATGCCAAAGCATTGAAGCACAATAATAATGTATGGAGTCCTGCTTTGTTGATCTTTACAATAATTTTTTTTTTTCCTGTTTTTATTTAATTAAAAGGTCTAGTCATATCGATTAAACAAATATTCATGTCATAGATTGATCATATCCAACAGTTTTTGGTTATATATTTTATTATTTTTGTGATTAAAGGCTCAAAGCAAATATAAATTAAGAAGCACAATAAAACTGCATGAAGCCATGCTTCGTTGATCTTTACAATATACTAATTATTTCTGTTTTGATTTAGTTCTAAGTTTTATTCATATTGATTAAACAAATATTAAAGTCATACTTTGATAATATACTACAGTTATGGTTAGTTATTTTCTTATTTTTGTAATTAGACTCAAAATGATGTAAATTAAAGGAAGAAGAAAACATGATTGTGAAAGTAATGTTAACTGCATATCTTCTTTCAGCTGGTGGGGCTTGGGGTGAGTAATGCATCATTGTTGGCTTCTTGTATAGATTTCCTGATATAGAAGTATGTGTTTAAATTAATCTATCTCAGAAAGAAGTGAAGAAACATTCATTTATTTATACTTCTGGTACTAGCTATATGGATTAGTCATGAGTCAGGTTATCTGTAAATGTGTTTGAAGTTTTGAACCGCAAATATGAGTTGTGCAGCATGAGTGGGCCAATTCATTTGAGGCAAGAGGATTGTGACACGTGGCAGCAAATTAGAGCGTAGTAGGCTAGCATCTATTCTGGCAGTTGGAGACAGTTAAGGGAGATGTATATATTATGTGGAGCAATATTCACCTAATCCTCTAAATTAGGAAAATGGATCCTGTAACAGATGATTTCCTGGCATAATAAATAGCAAAAGTGGTTGCCTAGAATAATCCGCTCAGGATGGATTTCCTGACCATATCACAATGGATTGTGTCCTTCTATCCTTCAGGACTGCAATTTTTATTTCTTTTACCGCTTCCAGTTTTGGTTTTCAGTTTCATTCTCAGTGCTATTATTTTTTATTTTTGTCAAGTTATTTGCTTCTCAAAGGTATACTTTAGGTTTTCCATAATTGCAGGCAGATGTATACATTTCAGTTTCCTACTTTTCTGCTTTCATTCAGTTTACGTTTACCGGCCATAGTCTTAGACAAATCGTGTTTAGAAGGTTGTAAGCGGTCAACCAGGAAGAACCTCTGTCCCCAGTATCAACTGAATCTTTTATGGTGACAAGAGACCTAAATTAATCAATCTTGTGCAATTGGTGGTTTGGATTGAGCACTGGCTAATAAATTTGAGCTGCAATACCTCTGTTTCAGTAATGCGCTTTTATAGTCATAACAACAGTAGATGCATATTAGAAACTTGCTGTTCAGGTGATTTGATCATTCAGTTGGATTTTTATTTGGAGCTCTAGATCTTTATTTTACTTTTGCTTTGTTCCCTGGTGGCTTTGTTGCGACTATCTTGATGATTTTATCCATGATTTGATAACAGTAAATAGAAAAATGATTAAGATCTTTCCTTGGTCTACATGAACAACTACTGACGGTTGAGAACTCTTTTCTTCTTCGACCTCTCTGTAGCTTTAAGATTGTTTTTACCACTCCGTGTTTCTTAAGATTAATTTTATTCAAATTTACTTTTTCTAGCATTTGTACATACCTCAAAATTGCTTTAATCCCATTCTTCTCTATTTCATTATGATGATCTATGAACTTTCTGTTTTTTTTTTTTTTTTCTTTTTTTTTTTTTTCCCCACATTATCATAATAGATCCGTCTCTTAAGTCTTATCTTTTGTTCTGGAAAATTGATTTTCTTGTGTATCATTCCTCTTGGTTTCTCATGTCTGATGATGGTGCAATGCTAGAAACTAGAATACAAACTAAACTATCATATGTTCAGCTTTACGAGCTTGAGTAGTGAATATTCTTTGAATATCTATACTTCAATTGCATGTTCATGCAATAAGGGATGTATCTGGTTATGCTCCTCAAACATAACAATCAAGGTTAGAGTCATACTCAGACCCTTACTTTATCTCAGTCAACATAACCAGTTGGCATTCTGTTTTACGGATTATTCTTGATATCAAAGGACAGACCATTTAATTCATGCTAGCAGGCTCAGATGAACACACATTACTATGGTATACTGAATTGCATAGTTTGTATGTCAACCACAAAAACAAAATTGCTTAAGTTAGAATTGGTAAGAAGTAATCAATATGAAGATATAAGTTTTTTATATTGTTATTACAAGCAAGCAACAAGTTTCTAGAATTGTAGCAGGATTTCTGATTGCTGGAAGACATTTCAAAAGATTTGTGTCAGCTTTAACTAAGGGTTTAGATCCTGAGATTGGACAATCCTTTCCTAAAACTGCCTCTTCATTATTATCTGTGCTGTGTGTTGAGGAGGATTTGTGAAGTTGACGTCTGAAGTGAAGAGCCAATAGTAAATGTACCTTTACCACTGCTGAATCAAAATCTTAAAGGTAATTAATGAATTTGGAAATTGTTCTCCTTCAAGGTAAGGAAGAGAGCAGTCAACTTGCCTTTTGTTTATGTTATGGGGTGCCGTGTTTTTAGAGGCAAGTCCGTAAGACAGTAACTGCATTATTCTATGATTCTTGAGGAAAACCGTGTTGGTGGAAGCCACAATGGAGGAAGCAACTTGGGAGTCACGGAATAGAAATTTAAGTAGATAGCACATATTATATGGTAAGTGGTAACTAAGAATAGCACATGTCAAAGTCAGTATGTGTAAAATTTATCTACTTTTTGCCTTTGCAGTGGAGGTCATGCCAACAACGACGATCCTTGGTACTTCAGTTGCTCGAGGAACCTCATCATTTTTTGATGTTCCATAGGTAAATACTGCTTTAGAGCTTAAGGGGCAAGATACTTATTAATTTCTGGTTCATTATTGGATGCAGTTTTGCCAATGCTGTTAAATCAATGAATACAAATCCTTGGTAATGGGATATATATCTCATGTGAGTAACGATATGAAAAATAT